TTCAGTTTCAAAATTATTTTTCAGTTTCAAAATGTTTTTCGGTTTCAAATCTCTTATTTTCAGTTTAATTTTTTTTTATTTTGAACAAAACTTATGACCCCAGTTTAGCTCCATATAAACTGAAATCATAAAAAAACCTGTCGGGTCACTCAGGATGTCACATCGGCTTCTGTCRTCAAAGTGACAGAGTCCGGTGGTTTGTTTCCTGTGCAGCTGTTGATCGTGTTGCGTGAATTCAAAGGTTTCTGTTTCCCTCACAGCAACTCTGTGGGCCCTTCGTCTTCGTCATCTTCACCGTCCTTCTGCTCGGCTTCTTCGTCTTCACCTACTTTAAGGTGCCGGAGACGAAGGGCCGCACCTTCGAGGAGATCTCAGCAGGATTCCGTCACTCGTCGGGTCAGGGTGCCGACAAGTACTCGGCTCCTGAAGAGTTCAACACCCTGCGGGGTCACGACCCCGACCTGTGAGACACAAACAAACTCTGCGCTTCTCACAGCTGTTCTTTACCTCAAAGTAACTGTGGAAGTTTTTTAACTTTTTACAACATAAAGCATCAATTCATATTTTTAACCACAGATTCATCAAAACAGAGACAAGCAACATGCTCTTAAAATATATTTATGCTTTTTTAATTTAGTGTTCAAATTAATTGTGAGGTCAGTTCTATTCTGGGAGGCGTGGTTACGTGGAAAAATGATGATAAATGAATATCTTACCTGTTTGATAGCTAACTGAATCCCAAAAATTTGGGTCACACTGACGAGCTAATGGCTAGTCTGAACATGTTTAAGACCAGTTTTAATTTAAACTTTGATGTTTTCGTCAGTTTCTCATTTCGTAGTGATTTAAATAAGCAGTCCATAAAGTATTTCTTTAAAAAAACATTTAACCAATAGTTTTTGTTTTAGCAACACGAGTATTTGATTAAATGTTAAGTTTTTAATGAATTATTTTTTTTGTTTTTATTGTCATGAACTGAAAGTTTTTTGTTTGTTTGTTTTAGGCTTCATAGGAAGTAAAAAAACATCTGATATTTCAGAACCTGTGTTTGCTGTGATTAACCTTAACATTTCATTAACTCTTATCTACATTTACATTTTTTATTAGTGTATTTTATATTTTACTAACTATAATGAATCAGATAAATGTTTGATTTGTAAATGAATCTTGCATGTGTGAAGAAAAATCATAACTTCTCAATTTTTGGCTGTTAAAAAAGGATTTTTGTGTTTTAGAAATTTTGTGCCAATGTGTGCCGAGTTACATGTTATCAAACTATATATATA